GATTTCGGAACCTTTGCATACCAGGAAAAAACTGCTTGGAAGCTGGGATTAGGCAATTTTCAAAAATTCTATACTAAATGACAGCAAATCCGTTTCAAAAAAACGAGCCCATATAAGAAAAGTCATTCTTTCACATGCCATAGCTAAGAACATGTACAAAAGAAAGTACCATGATAGTCGTTCCAGTTCTCTGCGGCGCTCGCAAGCTTCTTTTTTCAGTTGCTCTTTCTCCGCATTGGCCGTGGTGAGGAAGTCACGCAGATTATTTACTTCTTTTGACAAATTTACCGAATGAGCCCGAAGGCGGCTCATTTCAAGGCTGGATAACTCATGCGCGTTCCGGGCTTCAGTCAATTCCCGACTTAAGCCTTCCACTTCGCCAATATATCTTGTAATTTGCTCATTTTCAACTGCTGCGCGTTCTTCCCTCACTCTAATTAATTTCGTCTCCAAGGCACGGTTTTTATCGCAAAGATTTTTATTTACAGATTCGAGCTCCGCAACGCGACCTTCCAATTCGTTCATGTGAATTAAACGAATCGTCAACGACTGTATGTCACCCGACAAATGTTCGACATCTTTTTTTAGCGAAGCTATGTCTAAATCTTTTTCGTCAGCCTCATGCTTAGATTTTTTACATCTTCCCCATGCAGCTTCTAATTCTTTGCGAAGCTCCATATTCTTTTGTTCTGCAAATTCCAAGCGCTTTTTAAGATCCACAGCTAATGCTTTTCCGGATTCTCGGGCAGAAATTAACTCTTCCCTAAGCTGCTCTTTCTGCTTGTCTGCCACTTTCAAACGTTCCTCAAAGTCAACGGTTAATTTCTCTTTTGATTCCCGAGCAACAGCAAGTTCCTTTTCAATCATGTCCTTGTTCGCTTCTGCCAATTTCTGGCACCTTTCCAGCTCGGCAGACAATTTATCATTAGAATTTTGAAGGTCTATAAGATCTTTTTTGAGCCTGTCTCTCTCTTGTCTGATCAAATCCAGATTCTTTTCAAAATCAAGTCTTAATTTTTCATTAGTTTCCCGAATAGTAACCGAATCTCTTACTATTTCCTCTCTTTCACCTTCCGCAAGTGCCAGGCGCGTTTCCAGATCGTTCACTGATTTTTGAAGTTCCTGGTTTTGGTCCTTCAGTTCCTGAACAAGAGCTTTGATCTTCAGTGCCTCCTGAGCATCAGTTTTCATACCTTCTTCCTCTTTCATTTGTTCCATACATGCTAATTCATCCTCCTTAACCTGGATGATACTTTGCAATTTTTCGATATGCATCTGCAGACGCTTCTTGTCAGCCTCTTCATGAGCTATTCGCTTTTCAAGAATAACCAATTCCTCTTTTAGATCCCAAATTTCGCTACCAGAATTTTGCTTCTGGGCCAAGTTTTTGTCATCACTCTCAACATTTCTTCGGTCAAAATTGTCTATTTCATTTTTTAAACGCAGTACGTCGACAGCTAGTCGTTCTCGTACTTTCTCATCATCATCATTATTGTCGTTTACAGCAACTACGTGATTTTCTTCACCTACCCCCCACATAGTCTGGGTAGCAGCGCTAGTTACCAACAATGGTGGAGGAGAGATATACTGAAAGGATGATTTATTTTCGTACTGATTGCGCACATCAGCTACGCACTCCTTGAGAGCTGCGAGCTTCATCTCAAAGTCATGTTCCAGATCCAGATTTTGTTTCTCGGCCTCTCCATCTTCGAAGTCAAGTCTACAGCTATTCAGGACAGTAGTCGAAACGTCGTTGTGCTTCACTGCCTGAGCAGTTAATTCGTTTCTGAGGCTCGTCATTACGGCACTGAGCTACAAACCAACAAATTCAGTGATGTGAGAAACATAATGAGCAGCATCACAAACTAGAAGTTAGCAGTTACACTTTCTACGATATGCTGCTACTGTTCACTGTACATAAATGCAAAAAACATATAACACTGGTTGTTACCACTACCGCGGCTTCTGAACTGTGCGGTCAGACAGACTGGCAAACAAACGAACAGAAACACAAACGTACGGCCATGATCTCGCCTTGACGTGTTTGTTTTTTTTTTTTTTTTTCCTCTTCATAAAGCTAGCGAAAAGTTAAACCCAGGCTGGAACGCACCAGGCGAGCCGGTGCGATCATGCGTTTTTGCATCAAGCTTTGAGGTACTCCATCATTATTTCCCTGTCATTGTCTCACCCCCTCCACTCGCTGTTCTCGCGCCTCCCCCTTCCCCGCACCAGTCCTGGATATCCATCTTCTCCAAGCGGTGATATTGTGCTGCATTATACAGCACGATTAAAAAGCGGTATTCCGTAAGTACGGTACCGTGAGTCCAAAGCCCCTGCTGAGCGGTTTAACG